ATGGTATAAAATAGAGGTTTGTAAGTTTCTTTTCCGAGTCACACGAGGCCGTTGAATATGGACGTTTTTGAAGGTGATTTTTTTACGTCCACATCTAATTTCAGTTTTTCACGGATTTCTCGCAAAATAAAAAGTATTTTTACAAACCAACCCCACAGCATTTCTCACCTAACCATGGGTAACAAATGGTGAAAGTTTGAGCGATTTTGAATTTTTGAGCCTTGCCACAAATTTTCGATTTTGTTTGATTTTTAGGGAGACGCGCTCTTAAGCGCGTCCGCCATAGGAATTGGATTTGATAGATATGGGATGCATAAATAGACGACTTGCATTAACATTCACTATCCCCGAAGTTTCAGCTCATAATGTTGAGATATGCATGGCATTGAATATAAAATCAAATGAGTATAGGTTGGTTGGTAACCTCTTGCCATCGAGAGCATTTTGCCATAAATCTGAATCCTCAGAACATTCAATTTCGTATTTAATGCCATTTCTCCTGTTTCGCTTGTTAAGAGCTGAAACCCACCTCCCTTCTAATGTTGAGGTGCTCTTTTCATTCGCTCATCCCAGGCCAAAAAGGCTTAGATTGTGACGTTTGACTTACTATTTCATATTTTCATCGCTTTTCTTTCATCAGCTATGATATGGATATGGACATCACTACCTGCCACAGTCATTCCTACGACCCTTCCATACTTCTTCGACCGCTTGCCTACCTTAGTACTCATCCTGGYTTTCTTTCCTCTCGCTATTGGAGGCTTGCTGGGTCTTTATTTCGGGAAAACATTGTGGCTTAGGTACCTGAGTGTTGCTCTATTTGGAATAACCGAAAGTTTGTCTGAAGTAACCGGTGTCTCGTTAACAGCCTACTTCGATGCAGTAACGGTCAAGTATTATTGCGCGGGGAGTGGGTTTGGGTTCCTCATGGGGCCTCTTTTTTATACAGGTGGGTATCGAATAGTTTGAAAAACCGGTTGCAATGATACGGGCAAGCACAAAAACATGGCCTATTCATTCATTCTAGGAGTGAGTACAGTTATTAAAGAAAACAATGTAATAGAGAAATAAGGGGTAACAGTGGTCGAGGGGGAGGGAGAGGCTAATAGTGGTTGCTACGTACTTTTTCGTATTTGTGTGTACCCCTGCATGTAATATTCAATATGTAACTGATCTCCGATATACTTTAGCTGTCTACAATCGTGAGATTCTCCACCCCACTCCCCCCCCCCCCCCCCCCCCCCCCCTCCACAAACTAAGACAGGGATCTTTAACTATTGTTCTACTATTTATTTTCCTCCTCTGTATACAGCCATGAGCAGCTGGTTTCACATCTCTATCAAAGCAAGTGTCTCTGTCATCATCATCATGCATCCAATCATCTTCCTGTTGTGCTACTTGATGTTAGAAAACCGACGCGGAAAAATTATGGGATATCAGAAGATAGACAGAAACTCCCAAGAAAGTTCCGAAGAACACGAACTCAAGCAAAAACTTTCACTTACCGAGAAACTGCGCGGCGCGCTTGAGGTTCTCCCCAAGGTTACTCAAATCTTCCTTGCAGTTTTATTTCATGACCTCACGCTAAGTGGTGTGACGACAACAATAGCATTTCCTGACTCGCCATTTTCTTTATCAGATCATTATAAATACTATCTTATCATGTCATTTACTGGGCTGTTCCTTGGCCGCTCTTACCTCGGGATAGCCGAGTTCATCAAATCTGGACTGTCGGGTATCCTTTTTGTTCGACGCACGTGGATTTTAGTTCTCATCGGTATTTTTCATGTCATACTATTAATCTTTGATTCGTTATTCAAGTTTATCCCTAATGTCTGGGTGATACTATTCCTAGTTTTTTCGCTTGGTTTCTGGGTAGAAGCAACCTATCTTAACGTTAATGTAATCCTTGGTGAAATCCAGGATTTGAGGGTGAGAGAGCTGTCGATGGGCTTGGCAGTGTTTGGAGTGGGGTTCGGAGCGTTAATGGCAGCTATTATATCCAGTCCTTTGGAAAACGGGCTTGTTAAACATTGTTTAACATTTACCAACCAAAGCAGCTATTGCTTAACGAGAGAAACCATACGTTCATAGGTGATAAGCGATAGGCGACAAATGACAAATGATAGGAGATGGAATAACTTGTATTTCTTATCATTATTCTTGTCAATAACAAAGAAGTTGTCATGATATATTTAGTGTTCACATGTTCACATATTTAGTGTTCGAAACCGTTCAAAACGCCTGGATTATTCGCGTTTAGATGCATGCCCCCACTGTGCCCTTCGGTCGTGTGTAATCGCAAATCATCGATCGCCACTGGCCGTTCGTTCCTTCAACGTTTTTTGAAATAGCTGTATGTATGATCATGATTGTCACAGTGCAATGTCTCCTAMATAAATTGTTTTTAATGTTCCCGATGAATTAAGAATGAAAGCTTCTCACACATCTCACTCAGAACTGCAGGCCAGCACTAGGTCCGACAGTACAGTGATTTTCATGTACCCGTGAAACGTATACAGATATCATTAGTTATATTAGAGTGTAATACCGAAATGACAACAAAAGAACACAATGGAGCTAGAGTCTACTAATTTGTATTAGGTTAGTATGTATTTCACGGCTTTATGAAAACCTCTCTATATAGCCCTATACAAGGGCGGATCCAGCCAAATTTTTAGGGGGGGGGGG